CAAAGAATCTCTAAGGAGAAGAATGAAAGCTTCCATAGACGCAATGTAAACCTGTTTCGCCTCTGCGCCGCTGTACCGAAGAGCCACGGCTATGCAGTGAAACACCAGCGCAGGGTGAAATTTAAACAGCGCACTTCGAGGAGATAGTAAATTTTTTACTTTGAAATAACTCAAAATGTTTTATTTTCATACATTTCTGGAGTTTTCTGAGCAAAAGGATGTTAGTTGGAATTTTGGGGCGAATTATAGAAATCCTGTCCAATTTTTACTTTCAATTTAAACAGCGAGCCGTACGAAGACAAAATTTAAATGAAATAAATTTCTTAATTCTTTTCTTCTGTAAACTTAAAAAGGGGGGAAAACACATGCCATACAAAACGTAATAAATTTTTATGGATCCATAGTTAAAATTTTACAGTGAAATTTTAAAAGCAAAATTTGCAATAACTAACTGAAACAGAAAAACATATTAAAGACAATTAAAGGCACCCCTAAATAAATTGAAAACACTGAAATACATTATAATTATCCGACAACAACTTTAAAAACAAATTACCATGAAAACGTTTAGACAATTATTTGGAATGACCATTGTGAAAACCAAGAGCAAAGTTTTCACCCAATAGCCAAAACCATTTCACTTACAGCATTACATTTAAAAAGTCTTTAAAAGAATTTCACATAGCTAAAACCAAGTACCTCTGACTACAACAACAAAGAACGTTTTCGAACAACGTGGTAAAAGATTGCTAACATGGCCGACGGCATGCCGCATTCTTTGATGCTGCTTTGTTGCCTCCTGATGTTATTTCGCACATGCGCAGTGAGGTACGGAGGGTGGATAGCTTTGGAATGGTTTGCCCCTTTAAAGTAAGCTTCAAGGATATACATAATGTGTCTCTTCGGTCTGACGGAGCCACATTTACCCCGGTGAACCTTTACTTCTTCTAGTTAGAGATTCTTTGATTAAGCACACGCCCTCTATGAGATCTCACATCTCCCCAAGGTGACGTCGCATCAACACCTTACAGACTTAATAACATATTTGACATATATTTCTAGATAATATTTTGCTTATATGAGTATACTAGCCTAATTAACTATACTTAAATGAATTAAAAAATTAAAAATAATATGACTACTTAACTTAGAGAATTCAAATGAATATAGAGTTAAAGTTCAAAATCTTTCACGATACTTAACTGTCCATTGGTAACACACACAGTTTGTGAATGGGTCTCTTGAATTCACCATCAGCAGTTTTTACTTTTACAACACGCACTCTGTAATCATTACCTGGGTAAATTTCGGTGATACGTCCCAGTTTCCATTTATAAGGTATTTCTCCCACTTTCCTAGCCTGCCTTCGTGATGTAGTGGTCAGCACATTGAGCCGGTATTTCAGAGGTTCGTGGTTCGATTCCCAGTGAAGGCGGTTGCTAATTTTTATCTCTCTGGCTTCCAAAAAATCTTGATGTCGCTACAAGTGGCGCCCAAACTAAAAAGGCTTTGGATGATGATTCTCCACACCCAGGATTTGGCGATTGAGTCCCCTAAAAAACCAGTCGCCCTTTAAAAAGGGGAGTATATAAGGTATTTCTTCCACTTTTCTAGCGTGCCTTCGTGGTGTAGTGGTCAGCACATTGAGCCGGTATTGCAGAGGTCCGTGGTTCGATTCCCGGCGAAGGCAGTTGCTAATTTTTCACCTCTCCAGCTTCCAAAAAATGTCTCTACACTATTGTATCTGCTGTCTGTTAGGTATTTATTATGTATGTGATATTAACGGAAAGATTCAAGATGATGGGACAGATATGATGAAGGGCTTTGGTTGTATCTGTGACTTAAGAAAATGGTCCTTGAAGATGTTGAAAGTTTTCTTTCTTCGTTATTTAGATGCAGCTAACAAAATATTGGTTTTATCCTTTAGATTCTAGAGATTATAAACTATCACTAATCACTATTATAAATAATGAAGGATCTGTATGTATGTTCTTTAGATTGTGGGAAAAGGGTGGCACGTAGTCGCCAAATTTTCAACACACATACTCCTCCATCCAAACATATGCATCTGGAAACCTAATTTAAAATTTTCATTATATTGATTTCTTACTTTGTGGGAGTTTAAGGAACTTTCAATAAAAAAACTCAATGATTTAAAAGCTTTCTGTTGCCACTGGGCAAAGCGTAAAATATTTATATTTCAGAATTCATCGGAAACCTCAGCGATATCAAAGAAAATAATTGCAATGCATTTGTCTTTTGAATTCAGTCAGCAAACTCAGCACATGCTTTGCCATTACTTGGATTAAAATATTTTTATCTTCCACGAGGCAGGGTGTTATTTTACAGCGAAGTGTAAGATAATATTTAATTTTTCTTTCAAATTTATTCTATCATTGATTAACAAACTAAACAATTTAAAAGAAATAAATGCTGATATATTTCAATAATTATTAATTACTAGCTGGACCTGGGAAACTGCATTAGCTATATTTTTTAAAATCATTACGCATTTTTTTTTTTCTTCTGTATGATAACTATATGTCTTGCAAGCGGCTACTGATGCAAAATGATCAGATGAAGTGTATGTATTATATATTCTTTTTTTTTTCCTACTTTTCTTTATTTCTTTCTTCTTCTGTCTCCCCCCCCTTTTTTTTTACAGTAACAGAAATTGCTTAGCCATGATGCGATTGTCTTCAGGCAAGTTAATTTTTCAAAAGAATCATACATTTCCTCACTTTTATCTCTAAGAAGTTCTGATGTGAAGTTCAAAACGAATAAAATTTATTTTAAAAGCTTAAATTGTTTAATCTTTTCTCTTAATATATTTTATATTAGCCAATCAAAAATAATTTTCATCTGGAATAGAATTCTATGTAAAATTCTCTTGAAGGACTGAAAGACTTCTCTGAAATAAATATCAAACAAATGTTGAATTTTTCTAACTAATGTTCAAACTGACATATTTGCATTTATAATATCTGCATTTATAATAATTCATGATTGTTATTTTTGATCATATAGCTATGCTTTGAAATATGGTCTGTATAATTTCACTCTCACAGAAAGTTTATTTAGTAGCAATACAAGAACTCTTTTTTTTTAATAAATACATTAATTCTTCTATAGCATTTAAAGGAGAATAAGCACAAAACGTATATGAAAGATAGTTCCCGGTTCCATGAAGTTCATACATTTCAAGCTTTCCAACAGTAAATGGTGTCTTGAAGAAATCGGAATTTCATTTATTGCCCGAATATAGGTATGCATTTATATTTATAGCTATTGCTTTTCTTTTCTTTATAGTTGTATAGTTTTCTAATTTTAAATAATTTAATACATTTTAGAGTAATGCAATTTTTATGCATAATTTTTTCATCCGAACTCCTTAAACAGTCGCTTTTACTTTCACTTTAGCACTCTTTGTCAACTGCAATATAGATTAATGCCAATTGTTGCCAGTTGTTGAGTTGTTTATCTCCCAAATTGTGCAAGTGCATTGTTCATCAATGTAACAAAATTAATTACTCACAAATAATTTTATATATCTATTTAATAATATTATTTATATTTTGAAGGACATATTAGTTTATACGTAAGTGTAATAAATAAAATATGTTTCTAACTCTTATGCATTGTTGGCATTAAAATAACTAATGGCAGTAATGAATTTTGTACCTTAAGACTGCTATCCTCTATATATATTTCAAGGTAAAATTTCTTCTTTAATTGAATATTTTTTAATTCAAAATTTTTCCTCACTCTTAAAAAATAAAAAGACCCCCAGTTTATAGCTTTAATAAAAACATGAGTATTGATAATTCTGTCTGAAGTTTCTCCCCTGGCAGAATAAATTTTGGCCATCAAAGGACTTGGAATATTGCTTGTAACATTCTGGATTTGATTTTCATCCCTAGGCTATGCGCTATTTTCCTACCTTATGTGTAATCAAAATACAATTTAGTATTCTTGAGATATGTAGATATCAGAGATGCAGATTCTTGAGATATGTAGACACTTAGCACTATTCTAAATCTGTGGGCTATTTTAGAATTCTTGAAAACACAATAATAAATAGCGTGCTGTTAACTGGAAGCTTTATTGATAGCATAAATGGTAGATAAGTACCTGTCACATATGTTTATATGTATTGCGTTTTCTTTTCTTACAATAAAGTAAGCTGGGAATAGAAATTTTTTTCTGAGGAAGTATTTCAATGTGTCCAACCACATCATGTGCTTAGATAATCTGTATGAAATAGATTGTTTGCCTCTCAGCAACTACATTAATGCTGTCTAATAGCTCGCAAAATGAAAAGTTTTATAGTAATTAAAATGCTTTAAAAAAATCTGAATCATATAATTTTAAATTAAATGGAGTAATTTTTCTGTGCTTCTGGGAAGCAATGTCTTCATAATTACATGCACTTAATAAACAAATTATTGCATTGTAATGCTAATAATTAATGTATAGCAATGTATTAAAGGTAATGCAAACTGAGAACTATAAATCATTCTTTATTGCAAAGGTTCAATTTACACATTAATTTATACCTTTCTACTGACAGAGTGCCAGTCCCTAAATGTGCACCAAAGCACCAAATGTGGTGCCTATTTTTTAATGTATGCTATGCTGAATTTATGCAACTTTGTGGTGTTTTTGTTTAAAAAAACACTAGAGAATTGCACAAATTCGGCATCATAAACAGCCTTGGCATTTCACTCGTTAAATTTATTTTTTGGGTTATTTGTCTTTATTTATTTATTTACTTATTTGTATTTATTCTGGATTTTAAAAATATCGAGTTTTAATGAAAGTTTCCCGCCACTTTAAAAATTGTCTAGTCAAACAGTTCGCTGTAGCTTGTTTAATCATATTTGTGAAACGATTTTTGGCATTTAAAGGGATGAGACCTCCTTTGGGATACTGTGTTGTGAAATTTATAAAAAATAACATTATCGTTAAGTACAAATTGTCTGAAATGGAATTATCACGCTACCGGATTAGAACCATCATTTACTTCAAGTTCTGTTGCAAAAAGTCAGCTACAGAATGTCACTAATTCATGCGTAAAGCATTAGGTACTAATGTTGTGTGATACGACACTGTGAAGGTTTGGTAGAGAAAATTGAAAAAAAAAAAAAAAAAAAAAAAAAAAAAAAAAAAAAACAGACTATGATATTCAAGGAGCAGAGCACTCTGGCGCCGGCCTACTGATGGTGATGAGGCCCGCCTGGGAGAACTTGTGGAAGAAGATCAGTATACAGCCACTCGAGAGCTTGTTAAGGAAATAGACATTAGTGTCATGTCCATTAGTCGCAGTATGCATCGCATAAACTTGACGTACAAGTTCAATTGCTGGGTACAGCATGAGCCGAGTCAAACAGATAAGGGCAGACGTGTTCGGGCCTGCACTAATCTGCTCGAATATCAACGCAAGGACAAAATTCTGTACCGGATTGTCATTTGTAATAAGAAGCGGATTTCATTCAACAACACAGACCGAAAAAGGGAGTTCGTCTGCACATAGTGAGCCCATCGACAGCGTCGCAAGTGCAATCTGACTAACAAAAAGATCATGCTTTGTATTTGGTGGTATTATCCACAAAGAGTGTCTGGGAAAAGGTAAAATCCTCGATAATAAGGTATACAACGAGATTCTAGTCCGTGTTGGCACTGCTATCAAGGAGAAATGTCGAAGTGAATTCCGGCGCAAAAAGGTAATGTTTCATGAAGATGAATGCAAGAGCACATGTGTTTGCATTCATCGGCTGGATTCTGTACTAGAATGGGATCTTTTGGCACACCCACTATATAGCTGCGACATCGTTCCTTCGGACTTCTACCTTTTTTCACACCTGCAGCTACATCTTCTTGTTGTAATCTTCCATTTTCCACAGGATATCCGATATCAGGTTGATCTGTTTTTGAACTCGCAGTCACCAAGTTTCTCGGATTATGGCTTTGAAAAACTACCAAAATGTTGGTAGAAGATCATAGACGTGGGGGTTGATTACTACTCGCACTAAAGGTATTACTTTCGTGTTTTTTTTTTTTTTTTTCTTCTAACTTTATTGGCGGAAAACTTTCGTTACAACCATATAGCTATACTTCTCATGAAGAAGAATAACTCTTTATGTTATCATTAAGGTTGCTACTTTAATGTGATAACATGTATATTCAGCACTAAGTGGCACTCATTTAGCATAAAAGTATCATTGATTGTTTTCCCGGCAAAGGTAACCAGTAGAGAACGCCAACATGGCGTATTGTGGTGGTGACGAGTTCTATGCAGCTCTGGACAATGAGCTTCAAAAGGTGGAATCAGCCATCGTATCGAAATGCAATATGAATCCGCAGATTCGTGATGATGCGAAGAAGGCTTTGGGTGAGATTAAAAGTTTGATTACTAAGGTATGTTGAGCATGTTAAATCTGTAAATTTTCCGTGAAGCTTGTAAAGAGAAGCTTATTGAATTCAGGTCATGCAAACGAAATCGTATGCTAATGCTGTGGCGCCATCTGTTTGGGACAAATCAGACTGATTCAGATTGCTGTGTTTTTGTGAGTGCACAAAACTGTACATCTGATGAAAAGTTAAAAAGCTCCTTAAAGCTGAGATCAACCCTCGGAAACATAAAATTGGAATTAGCAATATTCGAACAGTTCAGTAACAATAAAATAATGGTGAAATGTGCTTCGGGATATGATAAAGAAAAACTGTATTCTGCTTTGCAAGGAAGACTCATCTATTTTGAATCCCTCTATTCCAAGAGGCTAAAAATATCCCTACACTCTTTACTTAAAAATGTGCCAAACAGCATTAGTAAATGATGGAACTCTTAAAAATTATTGGAAGAACAAAATCCTGATATTACCGTGAGAGAAGAGAAATTGGACAAGACGTTAAAGTTCGCTTTGCTTTAAAAAAGTTTCATCTTGAGAGAAGCGTGGTTATTGAAGGTGGCATCCTGCTGTGCGCAAGCATATTTTAAATTTAAGGGCGTTATTAAAGTGATGCGGAATAATGTGATAAAGCTGAAAGATTTTGTTGTTTTAAATAGATGTTTTAATATGTTTAGGCTACCACAAGAAGTCTTGATTGCAGAAATCCCTTGGCCTTGTTATTGCTGCTGTGGTGAGCATAAGAGTTCAGAATGTGATAAAAAAGAAGTGCAAGTGTGTGTATTAATTGCATAAGATTTAATAGAAAAGACGATACAAAATAGCAACGTAAGATCTAAAGTCATAAGCCATGTAAATCCTGGAAGCCGTTTTCCCTAGCTATATATTGCCCCAGCCATACATGAATCTTGATGAATCTTGCAGCTTCAAAATGTATTTACTATGGGTAAGTCCGACAATTCATCTGTTTCTTTTGTACAAATGAAATTTGCACAAATCAAAACGTTTGCTACTCAGCAAGCTTATTTTATATATGGAGGCAAATGACACTGATGTCGCATTAGATTCAGGAGCCGCACTTTTATAAAGGTGTTCTTCCTGGCTTTTCCAATAAAATATAAAGTTTACTATGATTCCGAAGCAGAAGTTGTCAAGTCTGCTGTTATTGTTCGTAACCAGAATCTTTCTTCCTTTTTTGGACTTAAATCATACAGTTTATAATACTGTTGTTTTAGATATGTAAAATCAATGGATCTGACTTGATCTAGTTTGTTCCGCTTATTTCGAGCCCCAAACTAATATTGAATATAGAACTATTAAAAATTTCAACAATTTTAAACGATGAAGAAACCATGCAATTTTTATGTAGTATGGATTCAAATAGCAAATCAGCGATTTGGCATAGTCCTATTACTGATGCTAGAGGAACGAAACCTTAGTGATTTTATTAGTGCGAATCATTTGTTTCTACTTAATGAAAATCGCGGACCTACTTTCTGTTCCACGCAAGACTCGAGTTATATTGACCTTACGCTTTGTAGCTTAGGACTGCTGCCATACGTTCAAGGTTGGGATATCTCTGAGGAAGATTCTCTTTCTGATCATAAAATGATTATCTTTGAAGTTGTTTTATGCCGTCCGATTATATCTTCTAATTTGTGTACTTTTAATTTAAAAAGAGCGAGCTGGTTTTTATTTACTGAACTTTGTAAGGGAGAATTGTGTAACTTGAATATCCTTCTTAACAGTTGCTCTGATTGTATTGCATTAGAAAATGTTGTAAGCAGACTTTCTACCATTGTTTTTAATTGTGCTTTACTTTCAATTCCGATGAAGAAAAGTAAGAAGAATGTGGTCC